TAGTTTGTTATTAATATATATTTTTTTGTCTTACTTTAGATTAAGGTTCTATATTTTTTTTATATAACATTTGGTTCTGCACTTCTCTCACTCATCATGTTTCTTTTTTTAGGTTTTCTCTTTAACTAGGGTTGCCTGGAAGAGATCGCTTACTAGCGATAAGGCCGCCCGTTGCATCCCTTATAATTTTTATGTATTGTGTTATTTGTGCTTCTTTTATTTTTATTGCAACGAAGTGAAAATAAATAAATAAAATAAATATTTGAATAATTAACTACTTCATTGGTAAGGAGTGATCTCTTCCTGGCAAATTTTAGGAGTTATTTATATTAATACTGTGAGGAAATGCTTCATTAAAGGTACACTGCCACAGGGACCGAACTTTTTAAATTTGTTTTAATTTTCTTTTCATTAATTTTTAATTGTTTATGTAGGTTAAGAAAATTGTAAATACTGTATATTTGGTTGTTATAATACAGAAGTAAAGATGTGAAATTATAAAAATACCCATAAGCCTACACAGTGAACGATTACAAAAATTACACCTATCATTCTCTCACTGCGTAGCAAATACAGTGTTTTTTATTTAGGTTAAAATGAGTCATCCTTATATATGTCATAAGAAACTAGACATTGAAGTGCTTGAGTCGGTGTCACGTGGGAAATTATGTAATGTAAAACGAAGGCGTGTCTGTCACCGACCGAAGAAATTAATAAAACGTTCTTACCCTACACCAACAGCAATAAATGTTCTATTAACTCAGTACACATAAAATAATGAACTCAATCTTATAAAGGGTCTATTTACCGAAGCATATTACATATAACGTAACGTGGTTGAAATTTTAATGACAATATTTATGAATAGTACACTATAATCTGTGGCGTAATTGTGACAGCTGTCTTAGCGGTAAAGATCGCGTGACAGCGCTGTTCCCGCCCAAACGTGTGTCGTGTCATTAGAGGCGTATTAAGGTTTTTAAGGCAAATGCTAATGAAAGAATGCCGCTCCCACTCCTTCGAGACCGGGCAAGGCGCGCCGTGCGTGTTCCCTACATGAAGACATGACATGTCATAGCAATTATTAATTCTTGGTATGCTTTTGTTTAATTAGCTGTTAAGAAATTACGTCAGAAAAATTGCTGGAGATTCTAAAAGCTCCACCCCAGTCTTAATCACACGCATAACTAGGCTAATATTAATACCGTATCGTGCCTTAAATATACTTAGTAACCTAATCAAAACGCGTTAAAGGGTGTGGTAATTAAAGCATTGTAATGGTTCGAAGACAAGATAAGGCCGGTCGGAAGAAACTAGCACTTTTCTAATTATGCTTTCATTAGTTGATGGATGGCTTACTCATGCTTACGTTAAGGAATTGTCTATAGTCGATGTTCGCATGCAATGTTTTATCTTCTGTGCGATCGTTGTTGTCTTTGGATCACGCTAGAACCTTTGTTCTATTGCTATTAGGCCAGAATTATTGTCGATTGAAATTATTGTAATACAAGAAAGAAGTTTGTAATTTTGAACAGGAATATGTGACTAATGAACATCAAAGCAGCTTTATCAGCATATTATATTTCCATTTATGTCTCATAAAAGTTTCGATGTTGATACGAGCGAAGTAGGGCACAGGAAGATTGGCCGGCGACCGCGGCGTCAGCCCCACACATGGCCCGATACTTGATTACAGCGATAAGTACCGCGCCTTGCGTGTTTTAATTATATTATTAACGATGCTAGCCCAAACTAATACTTTATAATGGTTACGTCGCAATGATATGTAAATTTACGCCTCGCCTTAACTATTAAGCGCGTCGCGTGCGTAAAAACCTTCACTTTCAGAAGAGACATTGCCTACAATTTAGTACTAAGGCGTGACATTCTTTCGGGCTAACGTATTTATAAATTCTCCAGTTACCTATTAATTCAGCCACACAAAACTGCCACTCGTAAGACGTGAAAACTAGAGTGACGCGTAATTAGCAGCTTTTTAGAAGAAAAACTACTCATAAGCTTCCTCGAAAGGGTAGGATTAATTACTGGAGGTGCTTACATGAGCGTGGCGCGATATAAATGGCCGGCCACTTGGCACCCTAGCCTCGCCTGGCCTTATTAAAAATGTTAACACGTAAATTAGACTCCACGGTGGCACTGTATTAGCCAACCAATTAAATTTTAGAGTCAGCTCACACAATGCAAAGCTAGGCGACTTCACACCCCGGGGGATAGCGAAACAAAATAGCCTCACCGATGTGAGATCAACCCCGTCATACGTTTCCTTCACACTTTGATAACGTTTCTAGTGTTTGGAAAAAATAAAATTGCGCACTTAAGTTTTTAATTACAAAAAATTAAATATTGAACCAAGTATGTACGGAGCGAGTTAGCGCGGTAAGTTAAAAAGCCATATGAAAATTGCGACGTAAGGTTGGCAGCATTTCCGTTGCCGACTGTAAGAGTCCTTGCATACGAGAGAATTTATTCTCAGTTGAATTAATAAAAAATATTAACTTTATAAAAGTAATTCTGATGATTGAAAATCTTGTTATTTCCACATTTCCCTTTGCCGATGCGATGCTGTGATAATTTCACGGTGTCTAACTTTACGAGAGCCGTGTTTATGAGATGAATAAATTATTAATTAAAAAAGTCGTGAGCGTGTCATTAAAGGCATCAGTGGCCGGCTTTAGCTGCAGCAGGCGGCGGGGCATTGTGTCGTGAGCCAGCTCGGCCGTGTGAGAGCGGGTAAAAGGTTTTAGTCTCGTCTAGTCTAAGTGCACACACTCGTGGTAGTTGGATGTGTATAAAGATTAATTGGAGTGTTGCCTATTCTAACAATTTACGACGCCTTGTAGCGGGCCGGCCGTAGACCACTTCTGCGCAACTTAATTAAGCGAAATAACTTAAACGAGTCACCGTTGCTAATTAGAGCTATCGTCGCGGCTAATTCTCCGAGTGACTCTTTGTTTGCCTGAGTTTCTTTGAGTTGCGCGCTAAAAGAATTTGTCTTTGCATCGACTTTGAAGTATGTTTGTTTTGGACCCCGAGGACTTTGTAAAGAACGTCGTGTTAATTTCGAGAAATAAACTTTCGTGTACAGAATAATATTATTCGGATGTGGTCGGTAATTTAAAAAGGAACCGCTTTAAGATCGGTACACACTGGGCGACGGAGCGATAGCAAAAGACGTTGAAGGGTTCTCGCCTTTAGAACCCTTGAGGTGTGCACACAGTACGTCAACAAGTGGCTTCCATACTCAAACTTGCGTCTTTTCACTATTAGCGAACTATGTTAATAGCGTAATGAACTATTATTTTTATCACCAAACGCTTATCAATCTAATTAGTTTCATTAAATTTAATTTAGTTTGATAACGTTAATTACCACTTATACAACTGTTTTTTTGTTCAACTTGTGACGATGTAAATAAAACCCTATCAAGGAATGTCCCAATTAAAGGTCCAATACCCATAATATACTTAAGTATATATACTAGAATAGAATAGCACAATGTTAATACTCTGAACAAACGCAGGCTGCAATTTCCCCGTACTAGACTATCTAAAGTTAGTCATTCTTTTTTGGAAAAAGGTATACTCTTCTTTAATAAAATCCCAGAGGCTCTTTTATCTCTGCCTTTTAATAAATTTAAGAATTGTTTTAAAGAAAAGCTATATAAAAAGGCTTACTATAAAGTTAACGATTAATTTGCGATATTTGTTTTAAAATAAGTGTTGTTTGATGATTAGCTATTTTAAAAGAGTACCGAGAGTTTTTTTCGCCGGCTTTCTCTCTCGGCCACCCTCTGTCTTCTTTGCCGATGAGTAGGAATGTCTACCGATTAAAATTTAATGAATGGAATAAGTGATACCTGTATCTTATGTTCCATAATAAACATATTTTTATTTTATATCGTTATCGCGTATTTAACACGAAGACTTCTCACCTACGTGCTTAATAAATTTGCTATATTTAAAAAAACATTCAATGTTAACAGTTAATCGAAGCTTCCGTTTTAAAATATCATTTGTAGACACCTAGGTAATTACCTTCGTGTGACCCTCACCCTTTCAGTATTTCAGAGATGTTTATCGTAAGGAAATGGACATTTTCCGTTGTCCACAATGCAACCATTAAGGGTACAATTTTAATGGACTTAAGTTTCGTCGGAAAATGTTTTAAAATTGACGCAGTAACCGCGATCGTCGACAAGAATAAGACTACGATACTGCTTTAAATGAATAATAATTGCGTTTCTTAATACTTAGTTTTTTGTGTCTTATCAAACGGTTTTGGGGTTTTCATTAAATTTGAACAATGTAGTATATTTCCTATTATTAAGTTATCGTTTCGCGGTCAACGTTCTCAATTAATTTACTTTTCTTGCGGTTATATCCTGTTGAAGGAGGAAAATCTCAAAATAAATTTTAATTAAGTCTTGAAGTTTCTCGGCGGTAACGGAAAAACACAAATATTAACTGATAACGTATTCTAGACTATTATTGAAATATAAATACATTACGCGAAAAGCTTTTACGAAGCTTATCATAGATAAAAGAACTGGCTCAAGATACGGGCATAAAGCTCTGATAACAACAAATTAAAGTGTTAAGCAAACATAGATATTATCTTCGTCTCTATCTTTGTTATCAAGTGCGAGTGGGAGGTGGAGTGCTAGAATATCGGCCAATAGATATGCAAAGAACGGGAAGCTTTATCATAGGCACGCGGCGATGGCAGGTGCCTCTTATCAGGACTTAGATAGCGCGAAAATTAGTCAAGTGGAAATCAATACCGAGGTAATTTTTCCCCTTCGCACCTCTTGTGACCTTTTCAAGTACTTAGTGGTCTATTTGAGTCGAGAGAAATGATTTAATAAGACAAAAACTTTCAGTCACTAAAAAGATTACAGTAGATTGCTTTCTGTTAAATAGGGATGTTGCCCCACTATTTGTTATTAGGAAATAGTGAATTTTCACCCCTTTATTGAATTATTACGGGGTGATTGGATAATCGTAGTCGAAGACAGTGATTGCTCTTAATTTGTTTAACTCCAAGATTGCTTGTATATTGAGTGTTCTGTGGTAATTTAATTAAGTCATTTGAAGTATTATTTTCTTGTTTCTTACGTACAATAATGTAATAAACACTTACCTAAAGTTTGAGAACCATTTGACGAGCTGTGCTGTGTTGTTCTTGTTGAACTTGATGTCAGGGAAGTACATCTTGAGTACCGCAGAACTCGGGTACCGCACCCAGAAGAACATCAGCTTTGCCTTGCGTAGGTGCATCGGTGTTAATGTTGAAGAGTGCAACGGAATCAAGGATCATATTGTCTTGACAAATACACAAACATTCAATCGAAACATTATGCAATAGACTATAGAGTATGGTATTATGGCGTCGTAATTTATATTTAATCTCGTCTTGTAATTCTATTAAACGTAGATATCAGTCTTTATTAAATCGCGCGCCTTTTTAAGTGTGGAATAAAATTAATTGGATTACTTTGATCCGATAATATCTAAAACTATAATTGACGTTAAAGGAATTAGGCTAAGAACTAATTACAATTAATGGGTATAGATATACAATTATTCTTGGATAAAAGGAATGCTGGTAAATCTGATTATATCCCTGTATTACGTCGGTTCAACGAAGCACCACAATACCTTAATCCATTTGCATCTAATCTTATAAAGCACCTTATCTGATATCGCACTCGGCATCTAGGCTTGTTGAATTAATTATCTATTGCTGTACAACTGTTTTATATAATAAAGTATTAACCTACATTATAAAAAAAATAATTAAAGCATTGTTAGTGTTACTAATGAAATACATTTTCCTTTCTACGTAGACGTTGCCCAAGTATGGAGACTTACCGCGAGCATTTGTGGGGTTTCAAGAGTCGTATATCTAACTGTTAAGTAGGAAGTAAGCGGTCGCAGTCGTAAGGTTAAACGTAGAAATAAGATATCTGTGGCCGTTTGCGTGTACGGCTTGAGGACTTGACCGGATTACGTAAACACAGTCGCTGGTCTTACATTTTGCGATCTTAGTTTTATAAGCCGAGTGCGATATTTCTACGAAGTATCGAAGTTAAGCTGAAAGGAAATATTAGTGTGTAAATCTATTAAAAAGGATATAGTAGGCTGAACTCCGTCGTAAGGCAGGTCAGTGGAGTTGCAGTCAGAGTGGTCCTGCGCGTCCATGTGGTGCGGGTGGTGCTGCGCGTGGTGCGGGTGGTGTGGGTGGTGTCGGAGGTAGTCCGGCGAGCTGTGGTGTGCCGCCGCAAGCAGAGGATGCAACATCGTCGGTGCGTTTGGCAGCGGCGGAGAGTCCCGCTCCGGCGCGGGCGGTGACCGCGCTAGACCTCCACCCGCCACAAAAAATGGCGAGTACGGCGAGAACACTTGACTCTCGTGTAGTGACGGATTCGGTATCGCAACTGACGTCGGCAACGCCATGCCTCCAGGGTACGGACGTGGAGAAGGCGACTCGGGGAATTTGCTCTCAGGGGAATGCCCCATCCCTTCTCCTAGGATTCGGCTTACAGTGCGGGGCGTAATTCGCGTGTCTGTCACCTTATGTCGCTTAGGCTTTTTTGGCGTCACGACTAAACTCAGAGGCTCGCTGGGGTCGATGTTCTGTTCCCGATCATAATGTCCATTCATCGGGCCGAAGTGCGGCGGCATCGGCTTCTGCGGTGTCTGGAACAGGCCTGTCGGAGGTCGCATGTGAGCGCCGTGGCCTGGCCCGCCCGCCTCGGGGTGCAGCGGAAACGCCGCGCCGCCTGGCGCACGGGGGCCATTCATATGGCTCATAAAAATTTGATTATTGGTCATAAATGGGACGCCATTTGGGGCGCCCGGGTGATGGACGGGTTGGTTACCTGGCATGTGTCCCGGCGGTCGCTCAGGCGCTTTCGGCGGTGGAGATTTTCTATCCAGCATTCTCGATGCTCGTATCAAATCCTTGTTTAGTTGCTCCGCAGCAGCCGCGGCTGCCTCTGATTGCTTGCCCATTATACGTCGTTGGTGCACGAAACGTGTTACGATAGAATCGATGAGACTCGCCAAAGACGCTGTGATTTCACTTTTCAGAACTTCAGCGAGGCTTTCTAGATCTGCCCCTGTGATAGAGCCGACTGACCCCGCATTGCTTCGTAATGCATCTAGTCGTTCCGCTAGCTCTGAAGGTAGGGGCGGTTTAGGCGTTTGCCCCATTTGCCTTTGTTGGGGCGAGTGTTGGTTAGATTGTGGCCTATGTTGATTATTTTGTTGGTGTTCACTAGCCTCTTTCATGCGCGCTTCTTGTTCTAAAAATAATTTTTGGCTAACATTTAAATACATTGCCGCTGCATTGCTGAGGTGTTGATGCGTGTGCGGAGGATGCATGTGTTCACCGTGCGGCAGATGGGGCATCAGGGGGAGTGACCCATTGAAACCAGGTGGCAGGTGAGGATGGGTGGCTTGGATCTTAGCAGAGATCATCTTGCTCATGACCTGAGAGAGCATGTTTGGTGGTGCACTGTTAGGTATTGGTGGCGGAACTTCCTTTGCAGGTGATGCAGGTTCTGATTTCGGAACAGTATCCTCAATCTGTTCTACATCACTAGACGCACCATCATTGTCAATAGTCTCTGACTCTTGGCCCATGCGATTACAAAGTTGCACATATTTCTCTTGCATCTCAGCTAATTGTTCTTGCATAGTTCTTAATTGTGATTTTAAAGCATTTTTTTCTACTAACTTTTGTTGTATCGGAGGTCGCTCACCATCATCCTCGGAGTCCTCTGACACTGTCTGTACACTACTGCTGTGGCTGGCACCGTACCTCTCTGCCGCACCGTCGTGTTGTTGCGGGTGGTATAACTTTCGTTTTTTACACCCGTTCACTTGAGGTTGCTGAGGCGCAGGGCTAGAACGCATTGTAGACACTATGTTTTCGACACGAGCACGTTTCACATCCTGTGGTCGCGGAGAAGACCTTTGAGCGTCACTATCGCGGTCTTCAGGTTCCGACTTAGGAGCGAGAAGCTGTTCTGAAGGTTGCGGCGCAGGCGGCGGTGAGGTGCGAGAATCACAAGCGTTGTCCAGTCTCAGGAGCGCGTCGTCGAGGTCTGGTCGCGAGTCCCGCGATATCGGTCGCTCAGGTGACCGCTTTTCGTCCTTAGGCTCATCGTTGTTATTATTTGCCAGCACATTATTATTATCCGGGGAGAGTCGCATAAGTTCCTTCTTGTGACTCTGAAGAATATCTCTGAGAACACGATCGCGAAGCACGTCACCACCGTTAGCCTCATCGCCGTTGTCCTCCTGTTTGGGTGCGCGGCCCAGCAGCTCGTTGAGCATTTCAGCTGGCGCGTAGCAAGGACCAAAAAGGCCGAAGTGTTGGCGACCCTCGAAGATGGCGCTATAAAGTCCCCCACTCATGTGTGCGGAGCGCGCAGGCGCGGGTCCGTTCGTCGCGAGAGTTGAATAAGAATTGCGCGGCTCACCGGCGTCCACGCGCTGTCTGACGCGTTTCTGTTTCTTTAGGAGCTTATCCGAGTAGGGCGCGTGTGAGTCGGCCTCCTCCTCCGATGACATCATCCGCTAGACGGGCCTCGATTGGCCGGACGGGCGGCGGGCAGGCCCCCGCGCTACTCGAGCCGCATCGCCCGCTCTGCAATAAGGAGGGGAGCTTGATCAACACACCTGCTCTCTACAAGCGCCCGCGTCTCTACATTACGTCTTGAACGTTAAAATGGGACGCATGTCGACTTATATCTAGTATGACAACTTTCCGAAACTAAAACTTATTACGTAAAATATTATATAGGAAATAGTAATTAACAGTTAACTGAATAATACGTAACTGAAATAACCTCAATAAAATGAGTTACGAGTTAAACATACTATATGTATTTAACATACATTTAAAGGATTCAAATAAACATTTTAGCAATTATAAACTCATGAGTTATTTAATTTCTTATAGATCAAGATCAAGATAGCGTTAACTGTCAAAAGTAAATACGGCGAGCATATATTAATTATTTCTATTGAAATTTGAAGAGAATGTCAATCATTAGGAAAATTATCTACATATTGTACGTAACTAGTGCTCATGGAAACCTGAATATCAGATATTGATCAGTGTTAGGTAGGCAACGTGGTAAAGCGTGGTAGCAATACACGTATTAATTCAGAGCGTGACTTTATTCAAACAGGACAATGGAATCTAAAAATGTCAGAAATAATTCTATGAGACACGCGGCATTTGTGCGTATTTCCATTGCATCACGGTATGTCTAATAAGATTACTAAGACGGTTAAGAATATTCTTTTATAATTAGATTACTTGTTCCTACTGCGTGTCTTGCGTGTCTTTCTCACAAGGCTTCGATCTTTTTTATTCAATAAGCCCACTTCAAGTACAATTTAAATCTTTAGCGAAGTACATTTTAATTATATTAATTAATTGTATAATCGTTTCGAACGTAAGACGTTTAAAACAAAGGTTAATACTCGAGAACACAATTTTTTTAAATTGTCACGTTTTTATGTTTAAAAATAGTGTTCACATAAAACGAGATACATTAATTTTGATTAGGAAACTGAGAGTGTTAATCACTTCACTACTTGGAACTTATACTTAAAGTAATTTTTCTTAAATTCTAAAGAAATACTGTTATTTGATAATGTGTACCAAAGGGTTTTTTTAGTATATAAAAAAAATATTAGGGTTTTTCAGAAAAGTATTTATAACAATTGTATATATTTATTTATTTTATTTATTTGTATTCAATTATTTTATAGATTTTTTAAATATTGTATGACGACATTTTGGACAGTTTCAATTATAAAAAATACCTCGGAGGTATTTTATGATCAACAATGGAGTCATGTTCATCTCGCGTCTCTACCAACATCCGCAATTTGCCACAATGAGATGTTATCAATAGCGGATGACTTCCGATGGTGACCAGCCACTTGCAACCACCGTCACGGTCCAACCCACCATTGGTCAACCTTACTGAACGCTTTCCGCACCTATTTAGTATGGAAACTTGCTTTCTACATACATTGTTATTTTCTATAGGCATTTTTAAATTTCTAGTATGACGTTTTAACACCACAGATAAAAAATATTTTGTAATGTTTGGTTATTTGAAACACGTCTTCTGTTGTCTTTAGATGATAATAATTGTATTTAACTAAATGTAATAACTAACCACCTAGTTAACTAAAATTTCGGCCAGATTTTGCATATATTGGAGTGTTTCCATTCTTATAAGAAATGTATTAATAAAATAATGTAAGACTTTTACACAAAAAGTTAAATTAGAATTTATTCCCAAAAAGCTGTGCTGTATCTATGGGCAAATGTCAAAATTTGTTGCGTGTATCTGTGAATCGGTGACAGATACTAAAACGGAGTTTTGACAAGTAATTTAACTAGTAATTTGTCATTCCGGTTTATTGGAAATCAATGCATACAAATGTCTAATTCTTCTGGACTTTGAAGTTTTATTAATTATTAATATGTAAGTAAATGATTACAGATAATTGAAGCGGATATGTTTGCTAAGTTCCCACCCCTTGTTTATAATAAAAACTCATGTATCGTAATGCGTGCACGAAACTACTCGAATAATTACGACTCATGAATAAATAATATTTGGACAATTGTGGTCGAAATTGTTCAATACGAAAAGGGTGACCATAAACATAGACATAATTGTTTGAACCTTCGTTTGTTCTCTTATAAAGCAATTGTCATGCCACATATATTAATTATATTTTATAATTAAAACACCCAGAGCTGGTGCTTTCCTCGCTCAACGAATAAGTATAGCAATACAGCGAGGAAATGCTGCCAGCGTTAAAGGTTTATTTTAATTATTTATTGATCAAAATTTTAATTATTATTAATAGTTTAAGAATATTGTAAATACTTTATAGAACATATTTAAATGTTCTTAATATAAAAGATTCTCTCTCTTAATTTGAATTTCAATCTAATAAAAAAAATCTGTGGCGCTACAACCTTTTTAAGTCTGGGCCTCAGATTTCTATATCTGTTTCATGATAATTTATCAATCTAATAGGTAAGTAGGTGATCACCCTCCTGTTAAACACACACGCCGTCGACTTTTTGGGTCTAAGGCAAGCTGGTTTCCTCACGATGTTTTCCTTCACCTTTCGAGCGAATGTTAAATGCGCACATAGAAATAACGTCTATTGAATGTTTGTATTTTTTTTTTTTTAATTAAACTATTTATTATAAGCGGCCAGTCCTGGTATTGGCTATGAAATATTTTAAAAATAAAACACTCTGTTACTTACTCAAGGATACTGTACAATGGTGAAGGAATGTTTGTAATTAGTAAATTGGTTTTGAGTTGTATCGTAACAGATATTTCCTCTTTGCATTACACTATATCACGTTTCATATGGATATTAGTATAAAAGATTTCCTTAACAACAGTCCCTGGAAAACCTCGATAATTTTAGTGGTTAATTGCGCATTTAAGAAGATAGCATTATCTGTTCAATGCTTAATTTTAATACATATATTTAAAGCTTGTGGTTTGAGTTTCTTAGTTTAAATGTACAGAATTAAAAAAAAAATCGTATAAGACTCTTATATTTATATTTATGGACAGCAAATGCATATTATATTGCTTGCCTCGAGGAATTAAATGGTAAGAGCTGATTCCGCTCTTTGTTTTCAGGAAAAATAAAAGAAGGTAATGCTATTATCACTAGGATACTAAGTATATTACATTGTTGATATGTATTTAGTGTAAATAATTAAAAAATAAATAAATGTATTAACAGTAATTTATCTAATTAGACTGAAGAGCAAAAGTGTTTTACGAATGTACTATTACTGTTTAAACATATTTACGGACGACACAGTAACCGCACATTACGACTGCACATTTTGAGGAATGTCTAGAACGTAATATTACCACTCTTTTCGTGGAAATATGACCTTGTAGAAACAGAGATATATGATTTCCCAATTTATTTGTTTGTAAACTGTCGCATTAACTTTTATTATTACTTGGTAGACAATCTAAACTAAATCTTTAAGCTTGTTGCTATCTATTACAGGATAGTAAAATTAAGTACACGAGTTTTGCTAACATTGTGCATGAAATAATTTCCGTAGAATACAAGACATCCTTGTGTTTTTCTTATAGTTGTAGTACATAAATCAAGGATGTCAAAAATGAGATTATATAATCAATATTAAACAACATACGACATTATAAAGTACGCAAAACGAATTCGATGTGATGGTATTATATGAACGCGAGGCCGCCCTATAGAACCTGTTGATATGGTTCCATATTGCAATAGGGGTGCCCTTTCACCTTAAAGGGCTGTTCAATGTCGAGATACCTTACGTTATTTGAAACCGTTTGTCGGCGAAGCGACTTTCTTAGTAATATTTTTTACACTGTGTGCATAGTAGGCTGGAGATTATTCTATGACTGAACAGGCCAACACGGCCTAGTGGCTTCAGCGCGCGAAGCTCATCCCTGAAGTCATAGGTTCGATTCCCGGCTGCGCATCAATCATTCTATGTGCGCATTTAACATTCGCTCGAACGGTGATGGAAAACATCGTGAGGAGAACTTGCCTTAGACCCAAAATGTCGACGGCGTATCAGGCACAGGAGCTGATCACCTACTTGCCTATTAGATTTACAAATAATCATAAAACATATGTATATGTTTTATGATCATATCGCAAGGCAGTTCTCTATTCCAGGGAAGTGCATAAGTAGGTACAGTAATTCAACTTCATTGAAAATTTACAGTAATTTTTATACTATTAGATTTCATTGCTAAGAAATTAAAATAAAGGTTATTTAAATTCCTAAAAGACTTTTTAATATCAAGAATTTAATATGTTTTTTAAAGGTACTACATATATTTTAAATGACAATTAATTTATAAGAGAACAAACAAAGGTTTAAACAATTACGTCTACAATTGTCCAAATGCGACAATTCTGTGTTTTATTATAGATTATTAAACATTTCTCAAATATATGTCGATATAAATTCATCGACATACCACCTCCCTTGTGTTTAATTTGGCGTGACCCGACGTCGTCTAATTTTTACGGAAATATTTCCCTTCTCTACATCATTCCCATGCAATAAAAATAAAGAAATCAACAGATTTTCAAACAAACATATAAATGTCATAATTTCAAGTGGTTTTAATAGCGAATGTTATTTTAATTTAATTTTCATTTTAGTAAGAGACGCCACGAATTGCTTAAAGCTAAAACATGTTCGTCAACCTGTTTCTCTCTTCCAGGTATAATATAATCTAATGTAATATATATTATTATATATGAATATAGATGCTTAACCACAATTTTTTCTTTTGAGTGGTATTTTTTCATCATTGTTCTTCAAAGAAATATGGATATTATCTTAAAGATAGAAAACAGTATTATAGATTTAGTTAAAAATAAAGCTTCGACACTTTGTCGTATTCGCTGTGCCGTGGGCTAGTTATCTTCCATTTGACATATTAATGATTTGAGGTACTTTTAATAATTTCTATAACACTTAAAATTTT